TACCGTGTGGGTTGATAAGTCGTGCTGAATCCTCTCCGAAACATTGCTTGCTCGCATGGCTGTCCTTCGCCTAGTGTTCTGCCATCGTGTTCAAGGTGACTCGCAAAGTGTTTGTAGACCACAGCAGCCAGATTGGGCGATCTCTGCCAATGTCGTGCAATCCCCTTTTTTGTACAGCAACACAGTCCTGCTGGTTTTCCTACGAGGTGGGTACTTCCGACAGGTAGCGCGTGAAGAGTCGAGCCAGAGTTTTGACGAGAACTGGCGGAAGATTCTTCAGATGTTCGGGTCTGATCCTGTCAGGGTGCCGTACGATTCTTCACCGACGAATTGGCGGATTGGACTTCAGAAGAGAGTCGCAAGATGACAGTCTTGGGACTTCTTGAAATTTGCAGCTTTTTTTCTTTGCATCGGATAACGAAATCTTGCGTGAAGTGGTCCGATTTTGCGTAGAGCACAGGAACAACAGCGCTGTCGGTGAGGCAAAAGCCTTCGACTGAACATGATGTGGTCGATATCATAATGGAATGATACGCCAGGAGTGTCCAACGTAGAGAGTAGGGCTTCTGGAACTGCGAGTTACCATGGATGGTATGGGTCGACATGATAAACTCAGACAGCTCTTTCACCCTGATCATTCCACTCAACTCCGTGAGCTTCGACGTAAGTTCTTCATACTAAGTTTGGGTCCACTTTCAGGATTTAAATGCCGACGATGACAACGTGTCGCCTTTTTCGCAGAACTTCCCCAAATCTATACAGAACGCTACGAGCTCAATCGCGCTGTTACTCGAGTCTAGTATAACGGCAGAGGCTATCGAGGAGAGTTGAACTGCATCTCCTCAATCACAAATGTTCGATTCAGGGAGTGAGATTTCCGCACGAATCGATGTTCAATGCCAAGTGTGTGTTGACAAAGACATTCACATCGCCAACGCTTCTGCTGTCGCATATTCCGAGGAACAGTTCCTCTCCTGTTTCCTAGACGCGTGTAGCGGACGGCGCATTTTCAAATCCCAAAAGTCATACTTGATCTTCCTGGCTTGCACCATCAGATCTTCAATTTAGGCATCCTTACGTTGAAAGTACATCCTAGAACTGGGCAGCCTGATGCTCCTCCGGCCCTAACCAAGGAAGTCCGCCAACTTACCATGGAACTTTGAATGGAGACCTGGGTAGATCGATAGAGTCTATAAGGTTATTTACAAATATAGATAGCAAAACTGCAACCTGCATTTCACAAGCAACTTATGAGCAGGTAAAGCTTGTAATGGTGCAGTAGGTGAAGCATAAGCGAGGAATCGCACACGTCAAAGTGGAGTCATGCTGTGCCTGTGAAGCAAGAACTTTACCACTGAACCACCACGACTCGATTTGACGTATGCGATTCCTCGCTTATGCTTCAGCTCACCACCAAGCCTCCACCCTACTGCACCATTACAAACTTTACCTGCTCATAAGTTGCTTGTGAAATGCAGGTTGCAGTTTTGCTATCTATATTTGTAAATAACCTTATAGACTCTATCGATCTACCCAGGTCTCCATTTAAAGTTCCATGGTAAGTTAGCGGATTTCCTTGGTAAGCCTCTCCCAAGCGGTCCCAACCAACGCTACCCTGTCGGTGATCGCCTCGCTTAGGGGACTGAGGCCCATATCCATTACTGTTTTTGACAAATGAATTGACCACGCGTAGCTTCCCAGGCTCCAACGCAGTTCATTTCGCACTGGCTGGTTAAAATCATTACACCCTCACGCCAAGTTGAGGCTGAGGATAGGATTTGGAGGATCTATGTTGCTCGGGGATTCAATTCTTCTGAAGAAAAAAAGCGCAAGTCTTCCAGTCGTATCACTCTGCAGTCGATTCTTGGCGCGATATGGGTGGTCCGAGTAAATCGCCTCGGGACGATTTGTGATGCTGGCTCAAAGCTTTAGCTCCCTTCCGCATTTCGAAATCGCATGGAAATCCATCCCCACAACGATAGGCCCGGTGTTGAATTATGACGCACACACTTTGCACATGCCTCTCTGCACTCCCTCTTCGTATCGTGTTGTGTGGTCGCGAACTGCTGAATGACGAATGTGTTGCTGGAAGAATGGGAATTCACCTGCAAATCCTGGTCTCAATGATACAAACGAGTCGCGAAGTCTCCTGGGCTTCTTTTTTCTCCTACTCCGTTCGCAACATGTTGTTTTGGACGGCCCAGACACTCTCCTCGGACGAATGCAGTTGTTGCGAAGGGTGCAGCTGCACTTTTGCAGATAAACACCAATTTTTTGGTGATCCTAATGCTCTTGCGATCAACGGTGTCAGTAAAACGCGTTTCACCGTATCCTTCTCAAACTTTACGTTCTATGCAAAATCAATCGATGGGAATTGAAGCATGATGAAAGTGCCTCTAGGCGCTCAGTGTTAAAAACAGTTTCCATCGATGGCGCACGGTATACAATCGATTTACTTGCCAAAAACATTGATTAGTCCTGATGTGATTGAACTGGACATGTTACAGGATCAAAGTTCATAAAGAATTCTCATGGATGCTCTGCAAACACAAGAATCAAACTACAGAACTACGGGGATACGGTACTTCTGAAGAACCAAAGTCCTTCACATGATCGTCAACAAATTGGTAGATGATTGAAACTAAGAGAAGAAAATGTGTCCCTAACTGGCAATTATCCAAGTCATATTCATGTACGGACCTTTATGGACGGAGGGACAAGGAAAGCTGAAAGATGCAAAAGTTTGCTGCCTGTGAGGAACTGAACCAACAAACCAACAACCTCACTATCATTGCCCGAATGAATGATGAGAATGATGATGAGACTCCTCAACGCTATGCACTAAGGCCATCCGATCACCGAGTTACATGTTATTCAAAACGCTGATGAAAGCATTCCGAGAAATCATTCACTCTCAAGCACCTGACACATGTAAGACCCCATTTGCGGCTATTTTTCACCTCGATTTCAATAGTCCCTACAAAAGGACTCTTTGCCCAGCAACCGGCCCAAGTTGCAAGTGACCTACAGCATATGGAGGCTCAAGAAAAGTATTTTATTTGGATTCCTTTTTCGCTCCTTTCTTGGCATTCCTAAGAAAATGAGCGTCTGTTTTTCTGGCCTGTGTGCAAGGCCCTACAAAATGCAAAAATCTCTTTGGAAAAGCGAGGCTTGGCTGACCTCCCCCGTAGGAGACTTCCAAATCTTTGGAACATGCCAACACAGCTTATATATCCTACAAACCCTCCTCCTCATTCTGAACAATTATTTCACAAATTGTACCAGTGACAACGCTACTTCAATCTTGCTCCTGAGCCAGCTAACTTACTTATCCCTCCGATGTCAGCGTGTTTATCATTGATTCAGTATATCTTTCACCTTCATTGCTCCTTTCTTTCTTTTATTATAGCCAATGTAAAAGCGGATCTCCGCTTGTCACTGATCTGGGGCACAATCCGACTAAACTGTCCACGAATCTCGATCCAGGTTAGATGCATGGCGCACCGCAACTTGATCAATGAAATTCGCATATGTTAGCATCTTTGCAGCAGATCATTATTTATCGAGGATCTCGACGGAATTTGGTCTCATTCTCTCACATACGACTCTATCTTGCTCTCTGACCCTTTTTCCCTTTTTCGCGTCCGCTGGGGGCAATCAAAACAGCATGCGTTTTCTTCGTTGGTGGTCTTTGCAAGCGGCGGCCCAGTCTTTTTCCGGTAGGTTTTTTCTCTGTCTGCTCGTCTATTACTTCGCAATGAGTGCACTGTTCCCGCATTTCCTCGTCTGATTTTCCTTCGTCAACGCAATCTCTCGAACGACCCTTCGTCTCCGTTAACGATATGTTCCGTCGCTTCACTCTGATACATAAACCAGAAACGAAAGCGACATGTTGTGAGAATGTCGTTCATCAGAATTGCAGCATAGGAATTGGTTTTTGGTGCACAGTCAGGCAGAAATCTCAACGAGGAAGTGGATCACGTCGACCAGCCGGTCTAATAGGGCGCCAGGCCACTTGCACTTTGCTAGGCATCCACCCTCACTTGCACTTTAGCAGCTGCCCTCGACAAACAAAGAGATTGCGAAAAAAGTTTTCGGAAAACACTGAACTTTTGCAGTGACGTTTCGTGGGTGGTCTATAGCATGTCATTGAAAGAGTCGATACCGCTCCTCCAATGACCTCCGAAGCCTGCAAAAGTGCAATAGTCCATCGTGATCAGCATAGCGGCTTCTGATGAGGGTGATTGGCCTCAATAGTGAGGGCGGTCTTCGACGGCAACATTGTTGCGAGATGACGTTGCACTTTGTTGCGATTCGCCTACAGCGGCGTTCGGTGTCGTACGCCCGACCATCGCCCGCTCCTTTTTTCGTCGTGTGTGGTCGGAACAGAGGCGGAGCTTCGACGGGGCGAAAACGCACGCTAGCAGTGTTCCATGTTGCGAGCTCCTCGCCATGCACGACAACGAAGGTAAGACCTGTCCGTTACGATATCGTCAAGCTGACTGGGGCTCACGAAATGGGCCAGGTCTAGGCCAATCTCCCAGAAGAGAAATATCCAAGCCCTTTCAAAGATGAACTCGCGAATAGAACAGTAGGGTCTCTAGGTGTGACTTGTTATACGTATGATGACCATTGTACTTTTAAGGAGTTTTTAGTGAGCAGTCAACTGTAGTGTTAGAAAAAATTGCACTTTTAAGGGAGAGAGGGAGGGGGGACGGTGGGCTTGAAAAGGTAGCTTAGTTCCCGTTCCACTCGTGCCCTTAGACGGAGACTGATGAGTTCAGGAAGGTTTGCGCAAGTTTCAGGAAAGTCTGTGCATCTCTTGGAAAGCAGTTCAGCTCCATCACCCACCTCAACACACCTGGATAGCTACCTCAATCGCTCATTTTGAAACCAACCAAAGCCAAATTTATTTTTGATTGTGGCGACTTTTACGACTAGTAGCCCAACTTTGTCCCGAAGTTCCAACAAAATGATTCCAGTGAGTAGTTGCCTGCGACTTCCCTCGGGCGTGAAGTACAGTATTGAGTACAGCGCTGAGCTACTGGTACTGCTGTACTGTTAGAAGAGGGAATACTGAGATCAGAGGCTCGGGCTCATGAAACAGCTGATTGCAACATGATGTCCGTGAGTGTGTGTGTCTGTATGTGTGTGAGTGTGCGCGCGTTGCGATGATGCGGCGACGGCTAAGACCTCCCACGACGAAAACTCGCCGCCACCACATCGGGCCCACCAACGAATCACTGCTCTATTTTTGAATTGCGCAGTTTTTCATTCCAAGTATTCAATCGAATATTCCGAGATCTAAGCGACTTAGGAGTGTTTTCACCTTGGAAAGATTTCCTTCATCTTTTCCTCCCTTCAGCCTTGTTTTCCGAAAGAAGCGGCCAGTAGTTTTTAACTTTCAGCTACTACCTTTTGCTACTTTTTTCTTCGCATTATTGTTTACTTTCCCCGAAAATTCCACATCGAATAATCAGTCTTCATGTCCCAACAGCTCAAGTCCAATGTTCTGCTGCTCTCACAGCTGCAGAGACTTTTGGCTGGTTCAACGAAGCATGAAAATGAGAAAATCTTGCTGGCCACCGATTAAGGATTGTCTCCTTCGTCCGAAGATTTCGCTCTCATGACTTTTCCGGGGACTTCATCGTTGCTAATGAGTTCTGGAGGATTGTTGCACAATTAGGCTTACCGTCAAGGTTCTACTGTAATTTTTGACAATTCTTCTTTTTTCTGTTTCTGAGCAGTCATCAGAACCCTCATGGGTGCTTTTATTGGCCCCAAGCTTTTGAAAGCACGTGTCAGTCTTAACTAGAGGACCTACTGGTTTTGACTTCCGGAACTTAGTGACAACTGAAAGCCAGGTGGTGAGCTGGATCCACTGGTCTTGACAGCTGAGATTTTCATTTGCTGCAATTAATCAAATTTTGGGGCCCATTTATTGGTGAGTCTGTCGGGGAAGGCTTGGAGGTCTCCTGCCAACGACCTCCCTGAACTCCGAAAGGTGGACTGAATGAGTTTTGGTCTTACGCAGTAGATTTCACTGCTTACTTCCGAGTATATTCCTTCCTTTCCTTGCAGATGTCGAGATTGATGTCGTTGCTCTCTCACCGGCACCATCACAAAGTTCCTGTAACAGCGCTCAGAACGAAAAGAAGTACTTCTGTCAGCGCTGTCTGAATCATGACCTCCAATTCCCGAGAAAGGGACACAAGCCCGTGTGCAAGTGGGTTTTCAGGAGGTTCGCCTAGGTAATTTGATAGTTAGGTAGCGCTTTCAGGTACGCCAGTTGTACATGCAGCGACTGCATTATGGTCGAGCAACGGCGCCAACTGAACAACATGCTCAGCAAGTCCAAAGTGAGTTCAGGATTGATGTGACCCTTGAGAAGATGTCCTCATCAAGTGGCCAGTTGCAGATGGTCGAGTCGCCCAGAGAGACGGTGAACGGGCGTCGAATTCGTGACCCGCAATGCGCTCGATGTCGCCAGCACGGAATTCGAGTTCCGCTCAGAGGCCACAAAAGAGTTCTGTGTCAATTTGCAAACTGCAAATGCGAAATGGTAAGTTGCTCTAATCCCTATGTGATTTGGCTTCAAGATAGTTCCATAAGAAGTGTTTTCCGATCATAATTCTTCGTTTTCTACCCTCTTCTCTCCTTAAGCCGCCAGTGAATACCCTCAGAGTTCAATCAATATTGTTCCCAGTCGGTTTTTCTTTTGCCTCTTTGTCGCTTCAACCCCTCGTAGCAAAGCAGACGACGCCGAGGCTACGGTATCGTCGTAGCGGCGTTTTCAGCGCCAATAAAACGTGGCGCCAAGGTTGCCACGCAGGCGTTACGGGATACGGTAGCAATCGGTTTTACTTCTGATCATGTCGATCAACTGCAATTTTCTCATTTCAACAGAAATTCCTTCTACTGTAAGAAATGTGAAAGCCTAAGTGCAAGAATCGCTGAGTTTTGCAAGAACTGACCAGCTTGCCCGAAGATGCGACTCTTTTTTACCTCATGTCTTCTGACTTGCCTTTTCTGAATGGTTGACTGCTCTAGTCCGATGCTTTAGGTTCACCACCTTGAAAGATTGCGGTGAAGCTAGAGGACAAGTCGGATCTAGGGTAGCAGTGTCGGGGCTATGCTACAGTTTTTGCGTGAAATCCGCAGTAAATTCCGTTTTCTTACTTCATTTTCTTTGGTTGAAGCTTGCACAGTATGACGGTTCTCTCATGATCCAACGAGAAACACCATGAGAAAATCGTCCGGATTCTTACTCTGGAAAATTCCTGAGTTTCGTGAATCACATTATGAGCAGGGCACGTTGAAGGTTGGAGATCCCCAAGCAGGGGGAAGGGTCGTATTTGTCCGCTAGAGGGAGGACTGTCGTATTCCTATTTGCTTTTATGAAAAATATTTTTGCTTGCCGACTTTTCCTGGTCTTTTCCTGCTACAGGTGTGCTACTGTATGCTCCCCCACCCTTTTTCCCCGCTCGACGGCGGTCATTTTCTGAGCGGAAAGGGAGGGGGAAGTGGAGAATTGTTTGTTCCTTACTGAGATCTCAAAGAAGTGGTAGGACGTTCGGAAGATTGGGGATGTGGAAGTGGAGAGGGGTCGTATAAGACAAGAACACCTAGGGGGGGGCGTATTTCCCAAAAATTCTTCCTGGCAGCAGTGCGTGCGCTGTTTATG